TATATCAAATACTACTGGTAAATTACTTGGCAAGTAATTTAAGTCGCATGTCGATGCATTTATATATATTATTTTTCCATCAGATGAAATACCATATCCTATTAAAAAATGGAGTATATTATTTCATTTTAACAACAACCACAACAAAATTAAACATACCTTCGTGAATGTGACCAAATACGTGGTACTTTGGTTTCACTCGATTTTGCACTGTAGACAATAATTCTACGCATCCCGCTCGTACTCCACTACAGCATAAGTCTCCATGTCCCACAGGAGGGGTATGAGTTATAAGAATATCTGTATCTGATGGTATCATGTCCCATTTTGACAGACAGGCTTCTCCACGTGGTACATTGAATGCCCATTTGCAAAATTCTGGTTGCCTGAAAAGAAAAGAATACTCCTATAAAATGCCAGTGATATTTTATTTTTCTATTGAATAGCATGTCATGAAATTAGTACGTATATATATTTACCATGGTGTACCATATATTTTTATTCCATGTATTGTAATTTCAGAATCTTCTAAATAAGTACAATTCGTCAAATAATCTTTAACATTAGTGGTTTGTATGGCTTCTGTCAAAGTATCTTTAGACATTCCCAATGTGGGTATGTTATCCAAAATACTGGTCCCTGTGTGTTTTTGACGTTCTCCACTGTTATGTAGGGTAAATGGATGAGTAAATGTAGAATCGAAACTAAGTTCATGATTGCCAGCAATAACAATTTTATTTTTATGTGGCAAATTACCTACACCAAAAAATTGCTTAATATATTAATATAGAAAATTTTTAAAATATACTAATTTTTTAATTGCTTACCAATCCAATTATTGAATTCTATAACTTCTTGTAAACTACCACATTTTGTAAAATCTCCTGCATGAATAAAAACATCTCCCATAGGTATATCAAATTTTATGAATGGTGTTAAAGAATGAGTATCACTCATGCACACAACACGAAGCTAAAATATAAAATTAAATGGTATTATTAATCATTGAAACTCATTTTTCCTTTTTATTATGAATATGATCATAACCATAGGACAAACATGTCAATACTTCTAGGTTAGATTTAAGCGAACACGTTATAACGATAAAATGTAATCTTAAAGTTTAACCTTATCATTTGGAGCTTCGGTAGTGGGAAGCTTAGCATTTATTTTAATTACTTTTTGTTCTTTTGACAATTCACACCAGGCTGCCGTAGGATTGTTTGTTAATGGATGAATCTCTATCTTCATGCTGAAACGATTATAACATACAATTGTCAATTCCAATGTTATTCAAGTCATAAGTTTAAATTAACTAATATTATAGTAAATTACTTGTATAAACAGATTAATTTAACTTTATTTTATACATGTATTTCATAAACATTGGCGATTATATCATCAACGACTATATTAAGTTGGGTTACATTCATTTATTTGCCTTCTTATTATAACTCGAATGCGTAATTTTTACTTGATATTGTTACATGTTATACTGTCTACTGTTAACTATTCTTCTATTAAGTACTCCTCATCTTTTAAATTCTTAGAACAATGTTGAGAGTTTTAAAAATATACAAATTTTAAAAATATAATCGAAAGTTTCGCGCCGAATTTCGTAAATTATATAGGCCAATATGTCTTTATATATGAATCTAATTATTAGTATTATATGTTAGTATAAAAAAATGATTTTGTATATTGAAAGGCAATTGTAATTTTTGAAAATCTGTAATAAAAATGTATGTATTTATGAATCATTCGTAATTATTTATGATTAGAAAAAAGTGTAATTTTATTAAGTTATTAATTTGTTCTTTATTTTTTCGGTTGGTTAATAAAACGTTTAATTTCAATATCGAAATATCAATTTTAATTGTAAAATCAGATCATCAGAGCAGTAACCAATCAGCAATTTATAAGGTTTCTTAAGTATATATATATGTATATATATACATATGTATACACAGATATAAAATGACGTGTAATACGGAAAGTGATTTTCTATATTAATTGAATTGAAATGTCCATGCAGGAAAAAGTGTATATGACACTGATCACAATTTAATAACGTCAAATTGTACTTTGATCAGCAAAACTTTTGCCTGGACTTTAGCATCTGTTATTTGTTATTCTGGAGTTCTGAAGAGTTAACGGTGTTCATCGTTTTTATATTTAGTGATAACTGATAAAACAAGTGTCCTATATAAGTACTTTACAATCCGGTCATATATCAAAATATATCTGGTTTGTAGAAAGTTCGTTTTCAAGAACGTTTTTAGTACAGTATAAAGAAAGAATTGCAAAAATGTTTTCGCGATCGGTAAGTAAACCACTTTAAAAATATAAAAGGAAAATCAAGTTAATAAAACAATTGAATGTCTTTCGCATAAATAATGTTACAATACAGTATTTATCAATATATATAAAGATGTATACGTAATCATATATTACCTACTACTAATATATTAAGAACACATATGTTTTATAGATACTAAAAACTGTAACATGTCAAAAATTGATGCGACCATTTTCATCAAAATCAGAACATTCTACAGGATATAATTTTGGTTAGTGCAATAAATATATTGTAATTGTATTGCATTATAGTAACATATTCTTTGGATTTCACTGTTTCACTTATAACAATTTAATCTTATATATTTTATTTCTATATTAGAGTTGACAGATGTTCAAAAAGAAATGCAAGAATTAGCACGAAAGTTTACAAAAGAAGAAATTATCCCAGTTGCTGCTGAACATGATAGAACTGGAAAATATCCTTGGGATATTATTAAAAAGGCATGGAGTTTGGGACTTCTAAATAAAGAGATTCCGCAACATTGTGGTATAATTATAAATTTTTAGAAATTAAATCAATCTGTGATGTATAAATGTTTAAAAATTATTAATGTTCAAAACGTTATTATTATAGGAGGAATGGAACTTGGATGTTTTACTGCATGTTTAGTTGCTGAAGAATTTGCTTATGGTTGTACAGGAATATCAACGGCACTAGAAGGCTCAGGATTAGGTGTAAGACTTCTTACATAATAATGGTGAACTTAATTTTAGTAATAGAAGCATATTTTATATGTTACGTAACATATATTTTATATATAGCAAGCTCCAGTAATTGCAGCTGGGACAAAGGAGCAACAGAAAAAATATCTTGGAAGACTTCTTGAAGAACCACTTGTGGCTGTATGATAATTAAATATAACTGAATTAGTTAACAATTAAATTAATTGTATACATTAGGAAGGCATGAAACTTTATTCTCATATTGTAAACATTATAGGCTTATTGTGTTACTGAACCTGGTGCTGGATCAGATGTAGCAGGTGTTAAATTAAAAGCTGAAAAGAAAGGAAACGAATGGGTTCTTAATGGTACAAAAATGTGGATAACCAATGGTGGTGTTGCTAACTGGTAAAATCAGTTAATCGCAAAATTACAATATCAGCAATGATATTACAATATTTACAATGTATTTAACAATTTTTCAGGTACTTTGTATTAGCAAGATCAAATCCTGACCCACAAGCTCCAGCTGGTAAAGCTTTTACAGCTTTTATTGTTGAACGAAATAGTGAAGGCTTAACACCTGGCCGCAAGGTGAATATTTTCATCGCATCAGAGTTATTAAATTTATGATGATTTTATTTTTTGTTATGAAATAATTTTATTTTGGTACGTGCAGGAAATTAACATGGGTCAAAGAGCTTCCGATACACGAATGATAACATTTGAGGACGTACGTGTTCCAGAAGAAAATGTTTTAGGCAAACCGGGCGAAGGTTTTAAAATTGCAATGCAAACTTTTGATAAGACTCGACCAGCGGTATAATAAAAAATGATGCATTTTTAAACGATAAATAATATAGAAGTAGTTTAAATATTGTTTTTCTTTAATTATTTTTATTATTCTCACAGGTAGCTTCCGCATCTGTTGGTTTAGCTCAACGAGCACTGGATGAAGCTACAAAATACTCATTGGAACGTAAAACGTTCAATAAACCAATAGCAGATCATCAAGCAATAGCGTTTATTTTAGCAGATATGATGATTGGCGTTGAGACAGCTAGACTTGCTTGGATGAAGGCGGCTTGGGCAGCTGATCGAAGACTTCCAACAGCAACAACACTTGCTAGTGTTGCAAAATGTTATGGTGGGGATGTAGCTAACAAATGTGCAACGGATGCTGTACAGGTATGTAACAACACGTAACGAAATATATTTATTAACTTGATTTAAAATCATTATTTTATATTTCGGACGTTTTACAGATCTTTGGTGGTGCTGGATTTAATACTGAGTATCCGGTAGAGAAACTGATGCGAGATGCAAAAATTTATCAAATATATGAGGGTACAGCTCAAATTCAAAGACTGATTATTTCTCGTTCTCTTCTCTCCGCGGCTAAACAAAGAAATGCATAACAGATGTATTAATGTTAATTATGAGTACTGAATTTTATTGTCAATTATTATAAAAGCTTTTCACTATTGTTGCAATGTATTAACATATATTTTTATACAAATGTATGTATTCTTTATTGGAATTAAATGTTTTTATATCATTGTAATGCAATACTTACATTTTATCCATATTCACATTATTTACATTACTGTTGAATAAAATAGTATAAAAATATTACATGTGTGATATGATAATTCAGTGTTTCATATTTCGCGCTTTTCCATGCTAGATAGCGCTGCAAACGTTGTCCGAAAGCGTTAGTCAAGTGTATTGTACAATGAAAAGGGATTACATCGCATTATGTCCGTCAGGCCATAGTTTTTACATGGTTATATTTGGTGAAGTCGTGCGTGACGAGTTATGCAACATTCGGTGTAAAAGCGCCCCATAATAGGACGTCCAGATATTGTGACACCTGACCTACTTAGACAGTATCGTCGTATTTAAGACAGTGGTAAATTGACAACATTTATAACGCGAAAAACACATTTGACAGGCTTTCAATTTGCAGATTCTAAATGCTTGCAAACACGAGAGAGCAGAGAAATCCTTCGGAAATTGCGTCTTTCCGCGATACATTATTGGAACACAGTGCCGTGACTAGTAAAGTCTGGTACCCATATAAAACTGTGGTCGATACGTTCCTTCTTTCGAATTACTTTCCCCCATCTACTCTTGTTCGATATCAGATAATTAAAAACGAACAATTACGAAGCAATACGAGCGCTTGAGACTTTGTATTTGAAGCGACGAAATACATTTGCAAACTCTTCGTCTCGATAAGTGGCATTTATGACATTCATATAGCATTTTCCCTTTCGATACCCACTACCGTGCCTGCGAATCTCAAAACGGGTGCAAATATCTTCAGCAATATCCTATACATTGGAAGTATTTGCATTGTTATAAAAATCTGCGGATCATAGATTATTTTTCTAAAACACTGTTAAGAATTTATGTACAGATACCTCAAAATATTAACACCACACATGTGCGAATAATAAAAATACTATTTTCATTGAAAATTATGATCGCATGTGCAACGAATATTACGTTTAATTAATACTTATGTAAGTCTTAATATATGAAGGCTTCCAGAAAAATATTTTCAGTGGTCGAGAAAAACAATATTTTCACAGCAATAAGAATTCACACACCAAAATATTCAAAGTATAAGGAGAAATGAAAGTACCATCGAGTAATGAATAGATTACAAAAATATTATACTCAACATTTGTACCGTACGTTCAGTTTGAACTTTACAAATACAACGTGCACAATATAAATAACATTGCGGTACGGCAGTACAGTCGAAAACCATTTTCCCACTGCATTAACGTCGAACGCAAGGCCGTGAAATCGGCGGATTCATAGATGTAGTTGAACGATGGCATCAATCGACAGGCGATCACCGAGGAAAGTGATTTCGGGCCGTGGCAGTGATACGGAAAACGATTCCCGGGTCTTTCAGGCAAGGGTACGGTCCTGGAACTCGTGCTGTCAGAGCGCAACGGTGCGCCGGACGCTCGCTTGACTAAGGGAGTGCCCGTCCCGATGCAAAGTGTAAGTGAAGTGGCCTACAGACCTACATTTGTCTAACGTTCGATTTTTTTCGGGCCGCCGGACAGGAGGTTAATAATCCGCGCGGGGCTCATTTTTCCGCGGGCGTGTGTGATGTCGCTGTTGTGTGATATACCGATGTTTGGTTGAAAGAGACGGTGTAGTTTCGGTACGCTCAGACGGCGCTGGCCGGCGCGGGGAGCGTAGTAGTAAAAAGAGAGGAGGATAGCGAGAGCTTGCGCACACGAG